GGAACAAGTTGGTGAAGAAAGGAAAGGAAAAGCTACAGCAGCTGTGGCTGGAGTGGCACCAGGGCCAGCCAGGAAGCCAGGAGGGGGATGGCACCCCACAGCCTGAGGTAGGACTGCCCCTGCTCCAGAGCAGCCTGGCCATGCCCTCGGGCAAGTCTTGCCCCTAGAGAGCCTCCTGGGGCTTTCTCTCACTCTGGCTCCATCTCTCCCTGCAGGAGATGGGATCCCAGGCTCTGGCCACTGCCCGGACCCTCCTCCAGCATGAGCAGGATGCCTGGCAGAGCCTGATAGCCAGTATCCAGGGGCTGCCAACCAGCATGCAGGAGCAGGTCCAGCAGGGCTGCCAGCACCTGGGGGAGCTCCAGGCTGCCTTCTCCAGCGCCCCGTCCTTCCAGGAGCTGCCTGAGGAGCTGCTGAGCCAGAGCAGGGAGAAGCTGGCCAAGGCCCAGGAGTGCCTGGATGATCTGCTGGAGTATGTGATTAAGAAGATGCCCCTGACCTGGGTTGTGGGGCCACTTTCTCCTGCTGGAGGCTCTGCAGAGCAGGAGGAGGAGCTTGTCTCGGAGGGCAAGGTGGAGGAGCCTGCAGGGGAAGGGAAGGTGGAGCCCTGAAGAACTGAACCCCTCTTGGGTCACATCTAGTAAAGGGGTCCTTTCTCTCTCCAAGGGATTTGATTCGGGCTGTGAAGGTGGGCTAGTCTAGTAATCTTCATTCTGATGGGCAAGTGTCTTGCCCTCCCCATTGAGCTGGGTATTCACTTGGGCTTCCCAGAAAGGGCTGCCTTTCCCTGAATGTCTCTAATCCTGCTGTACCAACTGGCCTGTTAGCTGCCTCCTGATTGAAGGCTTCTTCTGCTCCAAATCCCTTGCCTGCCTTGTGCCTGTTTGGTTGCTGGCTTAGTGTTGATCACTGTTGCATTCACAGCCTGTCCTGAGCATGTTCTTCCATCAGACTGCAGGGAGGAAAGAAGTCCTCCTGAAGCAGTTTTGTAGAGGGGATGGTTTTACCTGCTACTAGAATAAATGCTGCATTTGAAAAATGGTTCTCCTAATTGGCTTCCAATTTGTTGGTCCCCAGCAACTCCTGTTCCTGCAGTATTTCCCTTTCCCAGTTGACTTCCTCTTCCTACTGCTGGAAAGGAAGCGGCTCAGACTGCAGGGAGGAAAGAAGTCCTCCTGAAGCAGTTTTGTAGAGGGGATGGTTTTACCTGCTACTAGAATAAATGCTGCATTTGAAAAATGGTTCTCCTAATTGGCTTCCAATTTGTTGGTCCCCAGCAACTCCTGTTCCTGCAGTATTTCCCTTTCCCAGTTGACTTCCTCTTCCTACTGCTGGAAAGGAAGCGGCTCATTCTTTTTTCCTCATGGCCTTGTGTCTCTTGTTCCAGCCTCCTGAGTTCTACTACTCCTTGCTCCTGTTGTGTTTCTCATTTCCTCCTTCTGTCTCCTGAAATGAACTGGAGGAAGCAGAGGGACACCAGGTGCCTTTGTGGTGGTTTTTCCCGCCCCCCACTTCCAGCAGGAACTGTACTTTGCCCTTTTCCCCTGCCTTCCTCTCTTTC